ACGACAAATGAAGCGCTTGCCTTGGCGTTTGGCTGTTACTTCCATCGACATCGACATCGACATCCACACCAGACAGGCGGGCAGGCGAGAAGGCAATAAAAAAGGCAACGTGGGGGGGGTTGCAAATGAAAATGATTTCCTTCCATGTCATTATTATTTCGCCAGCGAGTTTTCCTGCCACCGCGACTGTTTCACTTTTTACATTTTTTTTGTTTTTTTTTTTTTGGTTACGACTTGGATTCGAATGCGACGGATTGGTGCTTAGCCCATTGACAGCAAGAGCAGATAGCAACAACACTTTCCACCACTTTCTTCTTCTTGCTCCCCTTCTTCTGCTGCGACGGACTCAGTCAAATTTACTGGCATTTGTCTGCGTTCTTTGCTTGCTTTCCGTTTCCGCTTCCTTAGCTTTGCAGTTTGCTGCTGTTGTTGTTGCTGCTGCTACTACTGATTTTCTCGTGTATGGCTGTAGTAAAAATTTTTCACATAAAAAATAATAAGAAAAGTTGTATGCTAATGTTGCGCTGCTGCGTGTTTTGTGTATTGAAAAGTACAAAAGAAATTGCAAAACAATTTCTGGATTCAAGCAACTTAGGAATCAGATACACAGTAGCACCACTAGCCAATAAAAAGAGCAGCAATAGTTGTGAAGTGAAAGCGAAAGGAAAGACTGCAAGTGCGACTGTAAGCGAGTTCAACCCATAACATACCCTACAATCTATATTTATTTTTAAAATGTATAACAAAGTATTTTATAAATATTTTAAAAAGATAATTAAAGTTCATACTTATTACAAGAAAGTATTTTATTTCAAGCCACTAATTGTAAAGTGAAAAAAGAAAATTATGAACCACCCTGTACATATACTGTACATGATCATTATACAATTGGAAAATATATTTTAACTCAAAGCTCATTACACCCCAGGTATCCGTTCTTTGATTCACACTTGGCTTTCCAACAGTTTTCAACTGCATTATCAATAATCAAAGCAATCAATTAAATGTATAAATGATTTGTAATGCACATAAAAAACAGCCGCAAATATGTTTACTTTTAGCATATTCCCCTTTCCCCCTATTTTTAAATACAAAAATGTTAACTTGCGTTTTCACTTCTCAATAATTAACTGTTTGGTTCATTTGCGAGTCGAACCAGTCAATCAGTCAATGAATGGTTTAGGAGAGAGCACTGAGATAATGAACCAGCTGTAAAAATTGAACTCAAACGCAGTTCCATGCCTCCTAGCTTTTGTCATGACAGGTGAACAAAAGCTAAATATCATCTAACTGCGTTCCTGCTTACAGGAACAAATCTTAATTTGTTTTCTTGTTTACAAAATTTCGCACCACAAAATCATGGGCCAATAATTAACGTATTTCAGTTGCGCTTGGTTTGTTTCTAAAACCCGCGATTATAAGTTAACGAGGAATACCAATAATTAGCATTGTAAGAAGCTGCAGGCAAGGGTAACTGCATTGTCATTGCAGCCATTAAGACATCATTTCTGCATTTTTAACTTATTTTTATTATGCAAAAGCACAAAAACATAAACAATTGTATGCATACACATATGTATAGTAATTGAAATATAAAAATATTCACTCACCTGCATTGTGTTTCATTTACACACATACATACATACATACATGTGTACTGTGCAAGCGTCAGCAATGAAGACGAAATTTCGTATTTGCGGGACAGCGTACTAATCTGCGTTCTTTGTACACATTTTCAATATAAGCTTGGTTAGTTCGTACTTTCGAAATTATTAATGTTTATTGATTAATGTTATTTATTCAATAACACTTCACACATTTTTTTGCAATTTATTTGCACACGCACACTGCACCGAACCCCGACGATATACATAGCACGACTATCTATCGATCTATCGATTTCCACATGAGCGATGGCTTTCGATGTTAACTAGATGTTTTTCGTTTCGACGTTTCGATGAAAAACGATCGCTCTTTGTTATATGAATTTGAAGCGTTGGCTTATTGAACATCACAGAGCCAAACAAAACCCCAACTAGAAGAACAATTGTTTTCAGGAAATTATCAAAAATTACAAATTAATAAACAGACATGCAACACAATTGCTAGCTGCTTCAAGCAGTATGTCAGAAGCGTTTGTAATATTTATTAAATGTATGGCTGACACTTTCAAGTATGTAAATAGCCAAAACGCCTAATCGTTTAAAAATGTAGTTAAACTAACTTAACTAACTAACTAACTAAAATCAGTGCATTATCAAATTTTTAGATCAATTTAATTGATCCCATGAATATTATCTGTGGTAATTATGGAATTGTGTAATTTTAAATTAAATAAGAAATAAATTAAAACTGAATAATAATATTTTCACATATGCACATATATTTTATAATATAACAAATGTGTAAAAACAATGTCATGGGTTTTTGTGTGGGGGGGGGCGGGGGGTATCCGTTTCCACGATGTTGGAAGTGTTCAGTTCCTATTATAGTGGAATTGGAACAATTAGTACTTATCGTTTTAAGTTTGGTATTCAAGACATAACGAATTATAAAATAATGTACAAACTGCAACCAGGAACGCATTTGTACTGCTGCCGAAACATTTTAAAACTAACATTTAGTTTACAATTAATCAACTCAAACCCACAATTTGGTGCCATTGTCTACCGTTAGGACGCAAACACGCAACACACGCACACCCACAACTAGAATTAATGCTTTAAAGTAATTTCGAATGAGTTTCATCAACTTTTTAATTAGTTTTGCAATCAGAGTAACATAAAACTTTTGACGAGTTAGAACAATCGTGTCCACCCTTGGTTCGTTGCTATCGCAAAACTTTTGCTTAATAATTTAAAAAGTAAATATTTATTTTTCTGCTAATGCCTTTTGGCCATAATCAACAGCTTGAAATGCGAAACGACGCACACGCAGCCAGCAGTAGCAGTAGACGAAGCCAACAAAATAACAAACAAACTGGACCAGTGTGTAGGAAACTTTTCGCGCCACGGCCTCCGCGCGCTACAAAGTAATCAATTTTTGAGGCCAAACCATCCCCCTACCACCCCAGTTTTTCCGAAGCTCAACCCTACCCCTCCCCATTCACAACTCCTACATAAAAGTTCAAACATCACCTGGCGTGGCCTCAGCTGCCGGCACCGCAAGTGCTGGGTTGCCAATGGCTCCATGGGGGCTGCCCAACTGACGCGCTGACTGACTACCTGTCGTCATTTTGTTGTTGCTCTTAGGGCTTTCAAAGTGTTTGTGGAGTGTAATGGTGGGGGAGGGGGTGGAAGGTGGGAGATGGGAGGTTTGCCTGTCAAAGTTTTTGTGATGCTATGGCTACTGCTGAAAAATTGAAATGCCGCCTCACGTGCTGTGAAATTTTTTATATTTGTTGATTTTTGGCTTAGAGTGTTGACCAAAAACAAAAAGTTCTAGTTACCTTTTATTTTTCAATTTTGCAGTGTTGTTTTACTGATAAAAGGGGAGCTCGCCTTTCAGCACCGGCTACTCCCGCTGGATAGTATTTCACAATAAAGTCCTTTTGGAGTTTTCGGTCGCAGTTTCAAAGAGTTCAACTGTCACAATTTTCTTTCTAATAATTTAATAACTTCTGGCGAAATAAACTCTAAAAACATCAGTGGAGAACTGAAATTGTGGCACATCTTTCTTACTTAATTTTGAATTGAAAAGCAGATAAGTTCGTTCAATTCAATTCGTTTTCATTAATTTATATTGACTTTTAAGCAAATCATTATTTGGATGCACAGAGTATATACATGTACTACATATATTAATCTTAAATATGTATTTTAGACTTTACAATATCCAATATTTGGTAATATTTTGAAATCAAAAAAAGGAAGGCTATCGCCAAAAATTCTAAATTTTAAAACATATGATATGAAACCTTCTGATTGTACTATTCGATAAAATTTAATCTTTAAAATGTGACAATTACTCATCTTACTTAGAAACGTAATAAACGAGAATTACATTCCAAGTATAAGCGACGAACAGAAAAAATAAGATGTTAAACAAATAATAAAAAATGAAATGATTATACTTTTCTAACTATTCGATACAATTGAATCATTAAAACAGCCTGCTAGAGAACTGTACAGGCTTAGAGGTCATTGAATTCTTTGAATTAACGTTTAAAGATTACAAAAACGCCCTTCGCCTTGTTTACTATAGTAGAAAATTAAAGATTTAAATCTAATAATTCAAAAAACACTCCATAATCTTCGACTGCCGATATATTTTATACTGTCCGGACATAAGCTTGCTTAGAACGCCCAACAGCTGGATGCAACACAATTTATCCTGACTTCGTCCTCAGGGTATTTTTATACAAAAGAATAAGTTTTTCATCATCGTCATCCATAAGTATGCAAATATGCGACATTGTAGAAAGAAAGTTAATTTCAGCAGATTAGACCTGGTGAACATACAAAAATCTATTTCGAAAAAGCTGAAAGGATTGCTTGAAGGATCTTGTCAAAAAAAATATTCAAATATGAAATATTCGATCTTAATGCATTTTCAATTGGAAAATAATATTATATATCTATTATCAACTTTACACAGGTATTGTATCACTTAATATAACCTGCTTAAAAAATATATAATATTAAATACAAAATAATGATATTGTTCTTTTTAAAATGTTCGACTGTGTGTCATTTGCAACTAATAAATTTATCAATTAAACTCAATTATTGTGAAAATCAGAATTCTTATAATTAAAGCAAATGGAGTGTCCTTATTTTTTTATATTTCAGCGAATAAATAGCTTTTTTTGGTTGTCTAAAAAAGTTCCAATCATAAAAATTGTCTCCACATACTATATAGTTTTTCTTTAAATTAATATATAGACAATAATCAATTGTTATCGATATTAACAATAAAATATATCTCGACGTGCACCGAGGCCCTAAGGCCCTTTTTAATTTTACTGCACTGACTGTAAAAGTGTGGAACTTTTCACTTCCGAAGGAGTTGCGTGGCTCGTCAATTGAATTTAATTTTCGACTATTTCGGTGCAAAAAAATGTATTTAGGACCGTTTATTGCTGGCCGTCGTCAACGTCGATCGAACTATGTACGAGCACTCGCTTCTCGAGAAGCCATTCCTAACGATATTGTGAATGCTGCTGCTGAGGCCAATGATGTGGCAGATATGGACGCAGAGTCTGATGCTTTCGAAACTGGCGAGCCGAGTAAGTAAAAAGGTTAGAAACATTCTTTGTGGCCAATAATTGACTGCATTTGATGCCAGATCCAATAGCGGGTCTGAGAGCAGTTGCTGTTCAGCCTGCAGAGCCGTTGGGCGTGGAAGCGGGCCAAGTTATTGGTATGGGATACCTTATGAACTACTCGAACGATCCGTGTCCCTCATATGGTGTTGTGTGGCCCCTTTCCTCCATGCCCTTTAACAATGGTATGGGTCATTTTTATCGTTTAACCTTGGGGCCTCCAGAACGTGTAATGCAACTTCCGCCGCAAGTGCAATATTCCCCGAGTAAGAGTAAGTGGCCTAAAAGCATATGCATCCATCTCTATCCTTAACCGAACCTCATTTGCAGACGAAGCCTGGAAGTTGGTCACCTCCAGCGCCATTCATGGGGACTTTTTACAAGTTTCGGCGGACTTGCTTGCCGTACGAGGGTACAGGGACCGCCTAAAATTCAAAATAACTCATTATCTGGTCGCGTCGGAGCGCACCGTCAATATACGCGACTTTTGGCATCAGGAGGTAAAACCAGGCGCACGCGCTCTCTTCCGTTTGGTACCCCAGAAGGGGGAACACCGGGACATTGCTCGCATTCTCCACGAATACTATACAATTAATGATTTAGTCGGCGAGATCAACGATCACGGCAATCGTATGGCTATTGTGGCGATGCAGTCCGGTCGTTGGTATCAGCACGCCAAGAGTTGCTCCCTCAGCATGCCCAGCTTCCGCTTGGTTCGCAAGTGCCTGGTATTGGTGATTTTTGGAAAGGAGTAGGCCTGGCAAGACTTACGTGACCAATTTTCCAGCAGGAATGGTAACTATAACAGACGAACCCTATTATTGTTTAAGGAGCACAACAAATACAGAATAACGCATTCATTCATCTAACAATATTGATTGATTTTTTAAAACCTTATTACACACAATTATACACATTTAGACATAAATATCAAATACCAAATAAATCTTTTACAATACACCTGCTTCAAATAAATGAAACGATTAAATATTTGATTTGTTTTTAAAACCACAGTGTAAAAGAAGTTGTTCTTTTCAAATCAATTCATATAAAAGATTTGAAGATATTATAGCAAAAACTTTGTGTTCATTTCCAAAAACAACTCAACTGAAGGTCGTGTGATTCGGCAATTTGTTTAGTTTTACAAAACAGGCGGCATGGAAGTGAGAGGGCCTTTGTAGTCAACAATCACCGTTGTATTGATTTTTAAATTATAATTGTGAAGAAAGATAAATGAATTTTAGCCCGGTGTGGGCCAAAGAATCCCACACTGTGCTCCTTCGTATAATTCTTCATCGCTCATCGGAAACATTATAAAACGAATTCGGTGCCGAAAGGGCGACAAACAGAATACTTCAAATATGTTCTGAGCCTGAGTGCTAAGCTTAACAAGTAACGAAGCGTTCAGTTATATTTTAATGTGGTACAATAGCCCGGTTTAGTCGCTGTACGATTCAAAAATAATATCAAAAACAAGTAAAAAAGCTAAAGCTAAAACTCCCAAAGGAGGAAGTAGGGGGAAATCGAAAAAGTAAAACAAACTTACACAGCGTACACACATAAGGCATCTTTGTGCAAAATTTGGTGTCTCTAGCTCTTATAGTCTCTGAGATCCAGGGGTTCATACGGACAGACAGGGACAGGACTCATCATTCTGCTCAAGAATATATGTACTTTGTGGGGTCTGCCACGCCTCCTTCTGCCTGTTACATTTTTCATTTTCACACATTTTAGGTTTGAGCTAATATACTCTTTTACATTTCATGTACAGATTATAAACAGTTCATAATCATCGTATATTTAATTTGTCTGGACCAATGAGCCATAAGCTTGCTAAGCCCGCCCCACCGCTGGTTGTAACGCAATTTATCCTGAGGACGAATAAAGCAGATTTTTATGCAAAAGAATAAGGATTGCTTTAATTTGTTTATTTAAAAAAGAATCAATCAATAGAGAACTTAAACTAAATAAAACTAAAGAAATAAAACAGACTATAAAATTGACAAAAGTATCTAATAACGAATCCAACACACAGCAGAGAGTAGTCAGATAAGTTATTAAAAAAGAAGTGGAGATGAAAAAATATAGCAATAAAAGATAGAAGAAAACCAATTAAAATTCTTAAATAATAAAAGATAAAATATAATTAAAAATTAAAGGTGAAGAATCACTGACCCGTTGGGGGAAAATTTATTAGCCAGTCCGGCAAACACTGCCCCTACTCATTGGGGATCAGTGATTCTGCCGGTGGTAGCTGAAAATAGAAGATTTTAGTGAGAGCTCACTTGAGATTGAAAAGTAAAAAGTATTATAGTTAGCGCATAATACTCGAAAAGGATTGTGCATAGCGTAATCACTAGTGCAACTGTTAAGTACAATAAGCAGAAAGTTCCTTGTTGGCTTGGAAGGAACAGAAAAATTGATACGACCTAAAAGCATAGAGGAATCAACATCTCCGACAATTAATTTGTGGAGGAGCAGAACACCCAGAACTATCCTACGGTGAGCTAAAGAAGGCCGGTTAATAAGGAGAAGTCTACTGGAGTGGGATGGTAATCGTAGATTGGGATCCCAGCTTAGACCACGAAGAGCAAAAAGAAGAAATTGTTTCTGGACCGACTCTATGCGATCCTGATGCAATTTATACTGAGGACACCAAACACATGAGCAGTATTCTAGCACTGGCTGTACTAGAGAACTGTAAAGTAGCTTGGTAGTGTAGGGGTCGATAAATTTTCTGGACCATCTTTTAATAAAACCAAGAACACCCTTAGCTGTGTTGACGATAGTGGAGATTTGAAGATTGAAATTCAAATTGGGATTAAAAACAATTCCAAGAACTTCAACTGTAAATATACGGTGCAATTGTATATTGCCGATCGCATAAGTAGATATGAGAAGGACCTAATCAAAAGAAAAAATTCAAATATGAAACATTCGATCTTAATGCATTTTCAATTGGAAAATAATATTATATATCTATTATCGACTTTACACATTTACTGTATCACTTAATATAACCTGTTTAAAAAATATATAATAACAAAAATTTTAAAAATTAAACATTTTATAACACACACTCTTAACACACATACACCCTTCTTTTTGCTATGAGTTCCTAAAATTTATTATTTTAATGATTTTTTGTTTGTTTTCAGATTTTTTTTGTTATTTTTTATTAGGTCAGACGTTCTCTGTAAAAAATATTTGATGCTTTATTTTCTGGTACCAAAATAAATTGATTTTCTGGAGCTCCGACCCGTGTTTGGGACTACCGGAAATTGAAGCCATATAAATGATCAAATGGGATCATCGGTATCCTCGGTATATGAGCTAGTTAACCAGTTGCTGGGCCGTTGATAATGGTTGCTACACTTAAATTGTCCTACAATTCCTTAATAAGCCTCCTCGTCTCATTGCACATGCTTGGAAGGCTTTAATTTCTCAAAAGCATGATTGCAATTCCTAATTTGACCGTCAATTCATATGGCCGCAGTCCAGAAGGGCTTAGTGAATTTAAATGTCTTCGATATTAATCACGGCGTCGATCGATTTGTAATTTTTTATTTGGCTGGGGGTTTTTGAATAATATTGCCTTTATATTTAAAGTGACAATGTTTCGAGGATGATTATGAACTAACAGCATGCTATACGGGAGTTTTTTAAGTTTGGTTACATTTTTGGCGTTTTAGTAAGGATTCCATTCTTTTTGGCAAAAATAAAATACCCCATGTTAATTGTCGATAGTTTAGCTTCCCAACAGTGAAAGAATCCATTATATCGGTCCAGTAGATTCGAAGCCTTTTCAATTCAAACAGGCAAACAATCAAATCTTTCCTCTTCATAATATTAGTATAGATTAAATACAAAATAATGATATCGCTCTGATTTTACTTTTTAAACTGTTCGAGGTTGTGTCATTTGCAATTAATAAATTTATAATCAATTATCGATTAAGCTCCATTTTTATGAAAATCAGTATTCTTATAATTAAAGCAAATGGAGTGCCCTTATTTATTTATTTTATATTTCAGCTAATAAATCACTGTTTTGGTTTTCGAAAAAAGTTCAAATCATAAATATTGTCTCCACATACTATATAGTTTTTTGTTCAAATTATGGGCGAAGGCCTACATACATGCAGAATTATCAGATAGGCAATATACAATTGTTATCGATATTAACAATAAAATATATCTCGACGTGCACCGAGGCCCTAAGGCCCTTTTTAATTTTACTGCACTGACTGTAAAAGTGTGGAACTTTTCACTTCCGAAGGAGTTGCGTGGCTCGTCAATTGAATTTAATTTTCGACTATTTCGGTGCAAAAAAATGTATTTAGGACCGTTTATTGCTGGCCGTCGTCAACGTCGATCGAACTATGTACGAGCACTCGCTTCTCGAGAAGCCATTCCTAACGATATTGTGAATGCTGCTGCTGAGGCCAATGATGTGGCAGATATGGACGCAGAGTCTGATGCTTTCGAAACTGGCGAGCCGAGTAAGTAAAAAGGTTAGAAACATTCTTTGTGGCCAATAATTGACTGCATTTGATGCCAGATCCAATAGCGGGTCTGAGAGCAGTTGCTGTTCAGCCTGCAGAGCCGTTGGGCGTGGAAGCGGGCCAAGTTATTGGTATGGGATACCTTATGAACTACTCGAACGATCCGTGTCCCTCATATGGTGTTGTGTGGCCCCTTTCCTCCATGCCCTTTAACAATGGTATGGGTCATTTTTATCGTTTAACCTTGGGGCCTCCAGAACGTGTAATGCAACTTCCGCCGCAAGTGCAATATTCCCCGAGTAAGAGTAAGTGGCCTATAAGCATATGCATCCATCTCTATCCTTAACCGAACCTCATTTGCAGACGAAGCCTGGAAGTTGGTCACCTCCAGCGCCATTCATGGGGACTTTTTACAAGTTTCGGCGGACTTGCTTGCCGTACGAGGGTACAGGGACCGCCTAAAATTCAAAATAACTCATTATCTGGTCGCGTCGGAGCGCACCGTCAATATACGCGACTTTTGGCATCAGGAGGTAAAACCAGGCGCACGCGCTCTCTTCCGTTTGGTACCCCAGAAGGGGGAACACCGGGACATTGCTCGCATTCTCCACGAGTACTATACAATTAATGATTTAGTCGGCGAGATCAACGATCACGGCAATCGTATGGCTATTGTGGCGATGCAGTCCGGTCGTTGGTATCAGCACGCCAAGAGTTGCTCCCTCAGCATGCCCAGCTTCCGCTTGGTTCGCAAGTGCCTGGTATTGGTGATTTTTGGAAAGGAGTAGGCCTGGCAAGACTTACGTGACCAATTTTCCAGCAGGAATGGTAACTATAACAGACGAACCCTATTATTGTTTAACTGCTTTCTACAGTCAGGAGTAAAAAGGAGCACAACAAATACAGAATAACGCATTCATTCATCTAACTATATTGATTGTTTTAAAACCTTATTACTCACAATTATACACATTTACTATACACATAAATATCAAATACCGAATAAATCTTTTACAATACACCTGCTTGAAATAAATGAAACGATTAAATATTTGATTTGTTTTTAAAACCACAGTGTAAAAGAAATTGTTATTTTCAAATCAATTCATATAAAAGATTTGAAGATATTATAGCAAAAAGTTTGTGTTAATTTCCAAAAACAACTCAAATGAAGGTCGTCTGATTCGGTAATCAATTTGTTTAGTTTTACAAAACAGGCGGCATGGAATTGAGAGGGCCTTTGTAGTCAACAATCGCCGTTGTATTGATTTTTAAATTATAATTGTGAAGAAAGATAAATGAATTTTAGCCCGGTGTGGGCCAAAGAATCCCACACTGCACCCAAAGATTAATATATAATTGGTAAAATTGAAGATTAATTCACTAAGATTAAATAACTTAGATTTAATAATAAGATTATTATCTAATTGGTAAAATTGAAGATTAAATACCTAATTTCTTGGGGTCAGAAATTTCCCAGTTTGGAACCTTAGTTGGAGTTCATTTTACGTATGTATGTATTTATTTATTTATTTATTTATTGTTAATTACTTCCTAGCGCAACAAGTAGAGTTACTTATATGTTATAGCACTAGTCACATAAAGAGTTTTACATATGTACTAAACTAGTTAGTTTATAATGAGATTATAATAAAATTTGAGACAGAGAATTAAAATAAGTTTAATAAAATTTATATTTTTCTTAAAACTAAATTACATTGTAAAATGATTGTATATGTCATGCTTGTTATCGTGACAGTTTATTAATGCTAATTTTGAAGATATTTTTTTAGATTACTTCGAAATTGAGTAGCGTTTCTGATGTTTTTTATGTGTGTTGGTAGTCCATTCCAAATGCGAACAGCATATATGAAAAATTGTCTGTCGGATAAAAGAAGCCTGTGGCGCTGACATACTAAGTTATGAGTTCTTAGAGATGTGGAAAATTTAATTCTTTGATACAGGTATGCTGGTTCCTTAGTATTTATCAATTTTTGTAGACATAATAAAACTCGAAAGTTTATCCAAGACATGATACTTAAGTTCAAAAGTTGGTATGCATAGCTGGTGACATGATCAGAGCGTCTTAGACCGAAAACATAACGAGCGACACTATTGTAAGCGACTTTTAGTTTTCGGAATGAAATTGCGTCACAATTTGCATATACCTCAACACCATAAGATAGCATTGGAAGTATGAATGTTTTCGCTATCATCATTCGCAGATTTACAGGTAGGAATTGCTGAGTCAAGTTCAGAAGTCTTAACGCACCATAAACCTTACCAACAGCCTTATTTATATGATTGTTCCATGTCAAGCTCCTGTTGAAGCAGAAGCCTAAGTTATTAGCTTGATCGACATATTCAATCGGAGTGTCTCCAATCACAAGGGAGTTGAAGTTTGAAGTGTTTAGTTGGTTTTTATAGATTACTAGGCATTTAGATTTAGTGGGATTGAGTTTTAACCCATTGTTTTTAGCCCAGTCAGAGATTTTACCTAGTTCACCATTACTAACACTTATACACTCATTTAATTTAGTAACAGGACGACTAACATACATTTGAACATCATCAGCATACAGGTGGACTTTACTGTTAGACAAGACATAAGGGAGGTCATTCACGTACAAGGTGAACAATAGTGGACCAAGAACAGATCCCTGTGGAACACCGCGACTAACAGGTAACAACGAAGAATGATCAGACGATATTACAACAGCTTGACGCCTATTGGACAAATAAGAATGTATAAAAGTTGTTGCCGTTTTTGAGAAGTAATACATTCTATTAAGTTTAGTGCACATTATTTCATGATTAACACAATCAAATGCCTTACTGAAGTCGAGTAAGCTTAAAAAAGTAACACAGCCAGTATCCATTTGACTGCGAATATCCTCAACCACATTTAGGACAGCTGTGGTACAACTTCTGTGCTTTCTGAAACCAGATTGGTCATCGCATAAGAGAAGGTTTTTGTTTAGAAAGTCACTAATCTGGTTTGCTATTAGATTCTCGAAAACTTTTGAGAGATAAGGAAGAATAGCAATAGGACGGTATTCATTGTTAGTCTTAGAAATAGGACAGATTTTTGACATTTTCCACTTATCAGGAAAGCAGGAAGTCATAATTGATGTGTTAAAAATGTGTGTAATATGTGCTAAGACTTTAGGTAAAATCATTTTGATGAATTTTGGGTGTAGGTCATCAAATCCGACCGCGTTTGACTTAACTTTAAGAACTGATTCTAGGACATCACATTGACTGACACAACGAAAGCTAAAACTACTATCACAGGTTACATTAGGTACAGCGTTTACATATGTATTATGCGTAATGACAGGTACTTCAATTTGTACAAATTTATTATTTAATTCATTCACGTCAACATCGGAGGGAAGAAATGATTTCGTTTTACCAATACCCATTCTACGAAGCTTATTCCACGTCTGATTGCTTGAAATCGCATTGCTAAATTGTGAAGTATGATAAGCTCGTTTGGCAGCATTTATCAAGCAAGATGCTTGCTTTCTGAGGTATTTGAACTTAGAATAGTGATATTCAGATTTATATCTTTTCCACTTTTCATATGCATCATTACGTTTTTTAATGGCAAGTCTAATTGTGTCATTAAACCAAGGTTCTTGTGTGGGTCTAACGATTTTCGTTCGTAGTGGTACGAATTTGTGGTAGAGGTAGCTTATTTTGTGTTCGAATTGTTGCAGTTGAGAATCGACCGTGGGTAACCGGTAAATATCGTCCCAATCAAGTAAAGAAAATTCGTCATTTAGCTGTGCAATGTCAATATTCTTAAAATCTCTATAATCTATTTTATGGTCAGTTTTATCAATAAAAGTGTCAAGTGTCAAGAAGATAAGGTCATGTTTAGAGAACACAGGTACAGAAAGTTGGTCGTATAGTAAGATTTTCTTTAAATTATTAATAAAAAAAAGGTCAAGTAATGTGTTAGAGGTTTGTGAGAAATGTGTTGGTTGTGTTGCATTAACAATTTTCATGCCTAATGCCTCTATATCATCAACTAGACGAGCGTCACACAGAGCATTGGAATTGAAATCACCCGTTAGAATTACGTCTTCATAGTTCATTGAGATGTCAGAAAATATACTGATCAGATCAGTGTAGTTTGTGTTGCGGTGAGGTCGATAAATGCAGCCAATTAAGATGTTTCGGCAGTTTTTTAGGTGATATAGTGAGATAAAAAGGTATTCAATTGCACACCCCTCAGGTTGTTTGCATATAATTCTGGCTTTGATTTTCTTACTTACATATATTGCAACTCCGCCCGCATGGCCTGCACGATCAGATCGGAAAACATTAAATCCATCACAATTAATCAACGAACTACACATGTCAGACATAAACCAAGTTTCAGACACACATATAACATCAACCTTGGAATTTACAAACATATTCCTAAATTCTTCTATCTTGTTCGTTAGGCTTTGCGCATTGATATGACAAATATGTAAGCCTGGCTTTCGGTTGCAAAGAACTTTTAGCATTGTATGGCTGCTCGCATCTAAACTACTATTACTAATTTGCATATTTAAGTATTTGAAGTCGTTTCAGAAACGCACTCGAAGTATACGATGTAAAATATAAATAGAAAGAATAGATTAATTTAAAACAAGCATGACAGTTACTACTACAAATAACAATGTTAAAATTAAAGCATAACAGAAGTTTCTTAAGTGCGAAAGTTACTATTGCTAAGGTGTTCCCCTAAAGCTCCAACGCCGTCCGTCTCAGCCGATGGCACGGCAAGGGGGGTTAAAGCTTTTATGCAGTTATTCTGCAGTGCCAAGAGCGTTTGCATGCCATCAACACGAACAACTGTATCGCAAGTAGGTGTTTTAACATGCACTAATGCGCGGCGAGTAAATACTGATAAGAGCAACTTCTGTCTCTTCATTTTCATTGCCTCTTTAAAAATATCATAATTTCGTTTGCTTAGTTGCTCATTTATGTAAATTGGGGTTGGCGAGTCAAAACCTAGGAGCAGCAAGTTTAGTTGTTGTTGAGTTTCTCGCCGGTATGTGCCAATTGCCCGCAAAAGTGAAGTTTTATCGCGCATATGTTCGAGTCTAATTATTATCACCGGATCAACAATGGAATTATTGGTCCTGCTTTGCTTGACCCGATAGATTTCTTTCAACTTGGGTGCCGGAGTTACTCCTAAGGCGAAGCAGAGAGAGTTGAAAATCGCCTTAAGATTTTCATTTTCTACATACGGGACACCGTGGAAACGCAAGTTATTTGCTATATCTGCGTTTTCCTGCTTAGAAAGCTGATATTCTAATCTGGATTTCAGGTCACCCACCTGTACACGCAAGTCGCAAGCGGCATTGGCGGCATCGAGCTGCGCAGCGAGCTTCGTCTCAAGCACACCCACCCGCTCCCTCAACAAGGACAGCTCTTCAACCTCGCGTTCAATGTTATTCACACGCTCATGTAGCTGCTTCAGTTCATCAGCCATGCGATCGAACCGCTCCAGCACCACATTGAGGATGCGCTGCTCAGTATCTCCCATATGAGTGGTGAAGAGGCTGGCCTGCTCTTCAAAACGCAAATTCATCATTGCCATTATCTTCGATGAAACAGCTTCCGACTGGCGGCCCTCCTTAAGGTCAGTGCTGGTGTTTTCACGTGCACGTTTGTTGGGTTGCGGTGCCATGTTGTTTAGTGTAGTTCGAAATTCGATTTCTCGGTTTGTATTTTATTGAGTGATTCGTTGAACGCTGATGCGAGAGTATTTGTGAGGGTATGACTCAGTGTTTCAGTGTTGGTATTGTTCTATTTGTATGTAAAATTTTGCGCGCTTGAAAAATGCTTTCGTGCGAATATTCTTATTATTGTTATTATTATTAATGCCTTTAATTAAATTTTACACGAACAGTTTCAAGTTTCACTGTAACTTCACTAAGGGCGTAAAATGTCCCATAGAACTTAACAAATTAAAGATTTGATCGGAGCGATAAAAAACACGTCTGTTTGCAAGCAAGATTAGTGTCTTTTTTTTAAACGTTGAAGTCATGCCAGTTTTCGGTGCTAGTTTTTATATCCGATGGCAGCTATTGATATATGTACTCGTAGTGCACAGAGTTCGATGAAATATAGACAAATTTTCTTAGGATATCGTCATAAACAAAAGAGCAGCTATACTAACAGTGAAAATATAGTTTTCTGCTTCAAAAAACTTGTGTGGGCTTGTAAAAGGCTACTGGTAATTATTTCCATGCCCGACCGCGGCTTTACTTATTGCCACTTATTGACTTAATATAAGTATAATCTGTGATTTGATTTATTTTTAGATGACCTAACATCACATAAAACAGAGCCTTTCGTATAATGTGAATTTTGTATACTTAAAGGACATTTTCAGGCACGTTGCACGTTGTTGGCCCACTGGAGCGCTTCTCTTTATATTTGGGCTTTTAGCTGTAGTTCTGCCTTCGATTTGAGTTGAGTAGTTTAGTTAAATGGTTTTCAGTTTAGTGGAGGAGCACGTGTCCAAAGGCGCACTGCATTAGTGCTGGTGGCAGCAGCACTCTGAGAGCCTTTTAAAGGCTCTGGCTGTGGCAATGACGAAGTGAAGGCAGTAACTTCCAACTCAAGCCCAAGCTTGTTGACGATGTGACAAGCATATTAAAAAGCGCAGTCGAACCGAGCATGACGAGGTCCAAAATGTGAGCACACAGTGTCAACAGAGCCATCAAGAAGCGTAGCATGAAACTAGCAGCAATGTCGTACAGGTGTGCTAGATGTGGCATTGGGTGGGGGTGGCAGTGGGGGTGGGGTTTGCCCACGCCCCTGCCAAATAGGCAGTTGGCATTACAAACCATTTCTGTGTGCTCCTGTACTGAACATGCAGCGAGTTGTGGCTGAGTTGGAAACTTAATATTGAACTAGTTTGATGTTTTGCACCTTTGAAATATTTTTGGTGAGTTTATAAGAAATAAGTGTCGTTTTGGAAAGACAATTTTTATATAATCATAATATTTCATTTCTAATACATCTCGCCTGTAACTTTCATGCTCAAAAAGTATTCAAATAGTTTCATATAGAAAACTGTTATAATCATTCGTTGACTGTTTTTCAATTTTATAATTCTTGGAATAACTTTTCAATTTTTGTAAATAGGTTCTATATTTTTTTAAGGTGAATTTGATTTTACATAAAATAAATAAAACATTGAAAACTTGATTCGATTTCAAATAAAGAAAATAATAAACACAATATATGTTTCAGATTTTTAAAGGAAATATAAAAAATATATACTTCGAATATTCAAAAAGTACATAGCGGAAGCTTTAAAAATTTTGTTTTTTTTCCCCAAAATCGTTTTAGAATAGCTAGAAAAAACAACATTATGAATTATGAAATGTTGCTAACAGCTTATAATTCAATATGAATGATCATAAGATCTGAAGGAAATAATTCTTCAACTTCAATAACTTTCATTCTTTCTAGAGAACAGGTATTTCTTTAAGCTATTTAAGACTATAATATACTGCGGTCGTTATAAAACATGGTATTATTTTTATTGTTGGCATATGCCAAGATTACTTCATCCAGTAGAGATTTAATAAAGAAAAGAAAGAAAAAGATTTAATAAAAGATATTGAGTAGCATTTCAATTCATTTCTTTCGAATCTAAAGTTTAGATGACTAAAACCAATGAAATTCATTGAAGCTTTGTGTAAATCGGAACTAAAACATTCCCCAGCTGAACCACTTAATTGAACTAGATCGACGACACAACTCTAAGATGATGATGTGAATCTGTTTTTGGAGGCAGAAGGAAGCACATGCCTAGGTAACCCGGAATTGTTGCCTGTGCGCTTCAGTGGATGGCACTGAGAAGCATGCTCTGCGACTCAGCGACTCGGTTTACTTAGCAACCCAAACAACGCATTGCTCTTAGGGCGCGTTGTTTTAGGTTAAGTGGCGGGCGTGATAGTTTCGTTTCTTTTAGTTTGGTGGTCGGTTCGCCTCGATTGGCTGGAATGGCTGAAATGAGAATGTTTTACTTACTCTGGCGGAAACTCAATTGACAAAATGCATTTTCTTGGTTTTGGTTTTTAAATCGCACGGACGTTTATTGAAAACTTGTTCTCTTTTTTTTTAAATCATAGTAAAAACATAAAAGTTAAGGTTTAAGTATTTTACAAAAATTACAGCGCATTTTGAATTCCTTTTGATTTAACAAAAATTAAGTAGGGTAAAGAAACATACATATGTATAGAGCCTTTTGGTAAAGTCTGGGCGATACATAACTAACATTAGGTAAATGGAGTTTACTAGCACTAGGATCTTATTGTTAGACATATACATCAATACCTTTACAATACATGTAGATATATTTATATAGCATATACTATATTTAATACGATATTTATGATAATTTTTTTTTCTTTAACGCGGTTTCAAACTACGATCAAGTAGCCCGACAAACGGGATGGTTTTTTGTTTTTACACTGCCTAGCCTAATTTATTTTCCATTTTAATTTTTGTATTTTTTTGCTGTTGTTTTTTCTTTGAACCAACTACTATTTGTTGGACTATGTATGTAAGTATGTAGCTAGTATGTGTTATGTAAATGCTTTATGTACGTCGCGAAACTTTTGTGGGCAGCAAGCCAACCCAAAACTGCTTAGTCTATAACGATTTTTATTTTACTGGGTTTGTTTGTCTCTTTATTGTAGTTCTTAGGGGCTGGTGTGTTAAGGTTAGTTTTAACTTCTACGTATTTGCATTGAAACGTCACATCATCTTTTTCCATATTTTATAATAACACTTGCATGATAGCTTACCTCTTAGTATTATAATACATTTAAGAATAGAGACCAACAGGGCGTAGGCTGCAATATCTTATTCAAATAACCGATTGAAGTCCTTCATAACCGGTTCGGAATTTTTCGCATAGGTTTGACAGAAGTTGTTTGTCAATTAATCAAGTGCAAACGGTTATATTCGGTTAAGAACCGTAAACTCGTTGAGAAAAGCTTTCTTTCTGTATCGCTTAGAATCGTTTGCAAAACAATAAACCGGTTCAAACGGTTATAACCGCTTAAAATCCTTAAAGCTCCCATTTTTGTTGTATCAGCCATAACGGTCTTTTGGCCTAAATAACCGATTCCGATTTCAAACATTTACAACCGGTTGAAAATCATATATCATTCAGCAACCTTTAGCCCATAGGCATCCTCTCTAGTACACATACTACTCTTTAAACAAAAATAAGTTACCTATGGGGGATTCCACTTAAAATCCACTAACGCCATATCCATCACGATTCAATATATAAGATCCGGCCACGATCTCCACTTAAGTGCTATCATTTAAATATGTCTTTGGATACAAAGTAGCGGCCGTCGTTTGTTGGGAAATCTTGCGACGACGCTTCTTGTTATATTTACAAGTTCTGGCATGTTGTAGCACCGCTGGTTAAACATATCTGGTGATCTGCGTATGGAACTCTGACAGGCAGATCTGCAACTGGCTGAAAGACGGACGCTCGGCTGGCATGGAAGCCCAGCAGTAAGCCATAATTGTGAAACTGTAAGTGGCAGAGCAGAACAAGAAATGTCGGGTAAGCCTAAATGCTATATTCAGATCAGGGGCTTTACACTCCATACTTACAGCTCATCGGGACAGTTGAAGGGTTGGGCCAATCTGTAGCCATCTTTAAGATAATGCTCCATTTCATAGGGATCGATTTCGGCATATGGCAACTTGCCCAAGGTGCACATCTCCCACATAAGGACACCAAAGGACCAAACATCGCTGCCCTCATTGAAGTGGGACTTTTGTAGAGCCTCCAGCGATAGCCACTTGACCGGGCGATATTCACCGTCACCCAAACTATTGTAGTCACCGGGAAAGAGATCGCGGCTTAGAGCGCTATCCGTGAGCTTAACGCGCAGTTGATCATCAATGCTGCATAAGAGAACATCAGAGTAAATAGAGAGGGTTAAAAGGTGCTCTCTGCTGTTTTAGTGCCAGTTAGGGGTTAGTTGAGGGGGTATTGAGGTATTATTCTATATACTTACACACAGTTCCTAGCCGCCACATCCTTATGTATCACGCCGTGGTTATGCAAATGCTCCATTGCCATGGCCAGCTGAGAAGCCATCAGCACTGTCTGAATGGTAGTCACACTTCTGGCATACGAAGGATCTTGCAGGAATGTCTTCAAATTGCGCACACTGCCATTAGCGGCGTAGAGTACAAAGGGGGTGGCATAGTCCTCAATCGAAATGCCCAAAACAGAGAGGACATTGGGATGTGCGGCCTCGTACAGCATCATGGATTCCTGCAGCAGGAGGTTCACCTGTATCTGGCTGCCATGCTGTGCCACAGTCTTGACCAAAACCTCCTGACAGTCGTTGTATGTGCCACGATAGATGCGACCAAAGTTTCCCTCCTGCACCAGGCACGACAAGCGCACACGACACTTTTGCACAGTTAGTTCCTGGAGACGGCGATTGAACTCCTCCGGCTCATGCTCATATTCGCGAAAGGGCCGCGTCAGCGTAGCATATGTGGGCGTAATAGTCGAGGGACACACATAGATGGAATTATGAGCCGTCGAGGAAATGGTCGGCAGGCGCTGAAAGCTGGATGTCTTTATCAAATGGACTCCGTTCGTAGGGTGTCGTTTCGAGGGTCCCTTCGCACAATAGGCAATCAGTATGAGGGTTGAGACCAATATAAGCGCCAAAAGGCCGCCAATGATAAGCGTAATGAGACCGCTGGTGGGTGGATCGATAGTTTCGCGCAACAGGGGATCGTAATCTGTGCCTGGACCACGGCCAACAGTCACCGCTGGTTGTCCTGCGCCACGTTCTGTTGCTGTGCTCAGATGAGCTCCAGTATCCTGTTCCACATTGGGCGACAGATGTCCATCTGCTATTACATGCTCTGCATTATCCTCGGCATGTTCGGCATAGTGTTCCCCATCGTGTGCTCCCAACTCGGGATGCTGTGGCTCATCCTCGTAGTCCTCATGTCCGCCATCTGGCTCATCTTTCAAACATATTTTCTTTCGCTTGAACACCAGATTTGTGTTGTTATTCGTCTCACGATCCAGTATCACCTCCAGGCTGATTGTCACCGTAACTTCAGCAGCTCGTGTTCCCGAGCACTTAAGACTTACGCCCCAGGTTTGCGCATCTACAGGCACATCACCAATGCGTGAGATATTCAACATTGGACGTGGTAGGACATCCGAATCCGAAGTGGCCACATTGATGCTATAGGGGAGCGGATGGTCAACGAGCGATTGCCAAGTGAAGGTTACATCGCTGATGTTGGCCGGCACGGGCACAGCAAAGTTCAAAGCGTAGTCATTGATGGCACCCTCGCGTACATAGTACAGCTCTGCGGAAACGCCTGTGAATGTAATAAGAGCAAGAAGAAGCAAACATTATAAAGTATGTTGGCAATATGTCTACAATGGCTTGTTATACACAAGTAGTACCCTCTATGTACGAAGACAAAATTAATGATGCGTTTGGTGACCCATTCAGTGGCGGCGAGACACATTGCAAGCTAACCCGTACTCGAACCCGAACCCGAGCCCACCAGACCCGGCCAACAACTTTTGCCAGTCACTCGATACTGCTGCATAATCAATCACTAGGGATACGAATTTTCCTTACTTTGGAAATTGATTTTCGTCTTGCATTGGCAACACGAGCGAACGAACTGAACGCTTGCCTTGCATTATCTGCCCATTTAGACATGCTCGTGACATATTGAAGGAGTTAAATGGCTATGTACGTAGTAGCATGAAAACGAAAAAGGCTACATCACAGCATTTTTTTCGCATTGCAGCGAGGCAAATCAATCAAATTAATCAAATACCTTGGGATAAAGAGCCAACATTGAGGGGTAGGTCGTCCCAAATGAAAGTGCGAACAAATTTGTCAGTCGGGGGAGAAATTGTACAACATCTTGTAAGACCTTGCGAATTGCGTGTCAATTTTCCGTCTTGACTTTACATCAGAAAGAAAGCAGCGAAACAAATATAAAAGGAAGTTCATAGAAATTGGTCAAATGAGTTGACATATCCAGATGAACCAACAACAGATAAACAACTGCCAAGATGCAAGGCAGCCAAAGAAAGCTATTCTGTTACTGTCAAGCTCTAGGATGGGGAAGAATAACCTCAGATGACATTACTATAAGAAGCAATTGCATAAAGCTTATCAGAGAGTTGAACTACCTGAAATACCTATGTAATTACTCTAGAAAATGTCTCGTTGAAGCTACAAGTTTCGAAAAGTACACATTTAAAACATTGGCCATTAAACATATGTTGAGGTTCAGAATGGAAATACAATTCTTCAGAAGTTACAATGTTGCTTGATCTTCTGCTAGCTGCCATCAACCGATTGTATTTGCTCCATCATTTCTTGTTTACTTTCGACTAAGATACACTTACCACTAACAAATAGTGCTACACTTTTAAGATTCTTCAGTAACAATCCAGGAACCCAGATGACTGGATAACATTCCTATGCTAAGCAGTTGACTGAAGCTTATCAGGAGTTGACTGAACTACCTATGTACTTTATGAACTGTATAGTTGAAGTTACAAATTTCTAAACTTTTGTTGAGGTTCTACCGATTCCAAGCTAGCAAGTTATCAAGTACTATACTTGAAGAGCTTCAGAATGGAATTACAATTCTTCAGAAGTTACAATTGTGCTTCAACTTCTGATAGCTTCCAACAACCGATTGTATTTGCTTCATTCTTACGTGTTTACTTTCGACTAAGATGTCTCTTAAGTTATAAATACCTCCTAGAGCAAACAGTTATGGTCATTCATATACAATTACCACTAAAAAGAGTGGGCCACTTTCAAGATTCCCAAGTAACAATCCTTCATGATCCCCTGCTAGTTGTCAGCTAACAATTGTACTTGCCTCATCACTCTTTACTGCCAACAAAGATCTCAAATAGTGGCTCCTTTTTCTGTTGCTGCCACCCCTAAGTGGCACCTGTTTGTTCCCGAACCCTAGGAAATTTGCGTACCTTTTCAGAACTTTGACATTTTTGTTGTTGTTGCTGCAAGTGCTGTCGTTCTGTTTGTTTTGGTACCTGCTGTGAGAGCGACAAACCCCTCAATAAATTTAATTAAATTATGTTAACTATAAAAATTATGCGCTGACCATAGACAGCTGGCGCCTCGTCGGCATGTTGCTTCACCCATTGTTGCACTTGCAACGTTGCCTCAATAAATCAATCAATTTATAGAATGGACTTCAAAACAAAACGGCGCCTCTATACACAAATTGTAGTTGAGACCCTATAGGGTCTACTACCTATTGCCCTGAGTTATGAAAAGCGCGCCGCACACAACACGCAAGGGCAAGGGCCGCTGTGCGGGGCGTCACTCGGGGGCAGGTTAAATGTTCATGCTTAATTAATGTTGTTGCTGCATATGTTGTGTTGCATGTGGCGGGCGAAGAGACTTGTGGCAAGCCGCATTGCCTGTGTTTATTTTAGATTTTTATCGCAGTCACCGTCGCAGTTCACCTTTCATACATTTTATTTTAATTTATGCCACTTATTCATAGCTAGTCGGCCGACTATATACTATACATATATACTTGTACACACACATATAGCATATATTTATACATATACATATATATTGTACTAATTAGTGTAGCAGCTCGCCCTGCAACCCACCATGCATGCTTCGTTTGCATTTTGAAAATGTAATTAGTAACGACTCCCGGGGAGAGGGCGGTGAGTGGCGGGACACGCGCGGGGTTGGGCGCTCTACTTCAATGACTGTGGCAGATATGAATCCTGTCGCATAATGAACTGTTGATGTGTGTATGTGGTGCGTACGGGTGCTTAAGTCTGGGCTAGGCAGATAAAAAACTGGCGATAAGTAAAAGGTGAAAGAGTTACCTTAATATGCAGTAGACATGTGAGTCGAGCTCATTAAATCAAAATGGGCGCCTAATTGCCAACTGAATGGATTGCATAGAAGTGGGTGCTTAAGTAGAAGATGTGATACTTGTATGATGATATTATAATAGTATAATAAAGTAAATAGTAGCTATCTGCCCATCGACTTCACCACAGAGCACTTCTTCTTTCGGAGAAATTAGGAAAGCAATACTTTCGTTAAAGCCACTCTTTCAACTTCGAAACACCCGTGCTAGGCCAGTGGCGGGTTTCCTTTATGAACCTTTCTTGCATAACTCTGCCGCCTTTAAATGCCACTTTCCATTTAGATAATATTCACTGTATTGCATGCTATGCCCACACGTTTAGTAATTTAACCTAGTTACGAGTATCATGGCACTCACTACAATCTTTCCACTTAAAGCAACATTTTTTGCCCAACTCCAAAGACAATTGCAATTAAAATTCCGCAGACATTCAACTCTGCAGGCCGCCCTATGTTCGTTCCACCTTCTCCGCCCAAGCTGCTCAATTACAGACAGCTAATGGCAATTTATTTTGCAACCCTTGCTCCTCCGCTTTGCATATCAACTACCTTGTCTATCTGTCTGCCTGTCTGTTCTACACTAATTAGAGCTGATTGCTCAACAAATGAAGTTGAAGGCCCCACACCAACCTGCCGCTGCTGCTGCTGTTGGCTGTCACGAAAATCGATTTTCATTATCAAAAAGGCATCCGAGATGCCAAAGGTGCCAACGCGGCGACCAACTTTGTAAAATGCCAATGCTGACATAAATTCTCGCTTAGCAATGGCCAAAAAGTAAAAGTATTTGCTCTAAAATGCAAAGGAAGCTGCAAACTTCTTAAAGTGTTTTCACTCAACTGGCTCTAGGCACTTGGAAACTGGAGCACGAGGAAGAGGGTTGCTGGTTATGTGTGGCAGGAGGTTGATAAGTTCAATATTTTGACTGGCTGGCACTAGAGATACGAAAGGAAGAAGCTGAAAAAATTCTGCAGACTGATTATGTTATCAGCACTGCTAGTTGGAGGAGGAGGAGTGATTTGTTTTCGGTTTCAAGATTAGAGTTTTCCAAAATAGATCCCCCACCATATAACAAATTAAATTTGATGTGGGCCATGATTCTTGCGCAAACACTAAAGACATTAAGGCATGGGCTTCCACCCAATCGGGCAGTCAAATTTGCAGCCCATAAAAAGCCGGCTAGGCTATATGAAGAAATATGACAAACCGAAATGCTTGCAGACAGACCGCTCCATTAGCCGCAAGCGAAAAATCACACAACACAACCCTTGCCGCCCTCCCACAGCCCCTTCGCCCTTCCCCATACGACACACTCGCTCCAGGGCCCAACTTCAAAGTGCGACAACGACGACGACAACGACGACGACGTCGACTATGACTACGATGTTGTAATGGCCTTAAATCAGAACTGTGCCCAATATCATCATCAAGCGGCGAGGAGCAGTGGGAAGCGGGCAATGGGCCAACGCAGCCAGACATATATTGATAATAATAAAAATGTCGTCTGGTCCGCCGCTGGTCTGGCTGTGGGTATGGGTCTGGGTCTGGAATTGAGTCTGTGCCTCGTCTGGTTTAATGCACAACATATTCATGTGTCAAAAGACAATTTCGAATTTATGGCCTGCAAAATCCACGCCATCCAAATGACGCAATGAGGACGGAGCTGGAGCTGGAGCCGCAGCATTAGCATAAAAAAAATATGTTAAGAATAAGCATAAAATATATATCCAGTACCCACTACTAGATCACGTTAGTCTACTGTCTCTAGCACCCTCTCGCTATATGAGCTTTGGGTTTGCATAAATTATCCTCTGGGGCGGAGGGTGTGAGGGGGCTGAAACGTATTTGGGGCGCAAAAATTGCGTTGTTAAGGTTTTTTTGCACAAAAACTTTTGGTTTATGTGTCTGCGTAGCTACTCTTAGGGTTGTAATTGAAATTAAATAGATGTCGAGCCATGAATTTAAATCGCTTGCTTGGCTGCACCGAAGGCGTTTGTGTGTAAGGGTTGAGCTCTGAATGGACAAATTATGTAGGCTGCAAAAAATATTGAAATCCAAGTGCAAAATAGTTGGCGAAAATGTGCGAAAAGAATTACCAAACGGTTTCTAGAAGGGGAAGAGAGTTTCAAATGTGACGAAGAAGACTTTACATTTTAATTTCAGCTTTGGGCTTAATTTTCCAGCGCCCTATATACTTAGTACTTACTTAGTATATTTCGCGCAAAGCTACTTTCTAAAATGTTATCCATTCGGACAATTACTTTTACTTTCAAGTTCAAAGCTCAAACTTGGCTGCCATTCCACTTCATATTCATCCATTTCGATTAACATCAGCATTCCCCCAAGCACTGTCCATAATTTGTGGGCTAAAACCGAACTATAAATGGAGCTCGGACAATTTAAAAAAGTTTCAAGTGCTGT